GTCGACTGTGGAACAGACCATCAATTGTTCATATGCAAGTTCAAGTTGAAGCCGAACAAAATTAAAGCAAGTCCACAGTAGCCATACTACAACCTTGCGTATATCCCATCTGAATTTAGAGGCCATCTCAAGAATAGATTTGACACATTTGAACACCAATGACCGAAGTCCAGGCAAGTTGTAGGATAACATTAAGGACATCATACATGAAGAAAGCAAAAGATCATTAAAAAAGGCAGAAAAGAAAAAAAAAACAAAAAACCCAAAATGGATGTCAGAAGAGAATCTGAAAATTGCTGTTGAATGTAGGGTAGCTAAAGAGAAAGGAAGAAATGATGAAGTAAAAGAGCTGAACAGAAGATTTCAAAGGGCAGCTAGAGAAGACAAAGTATTATAATGAAATATGGAAAGACCTGGAGTTAGAAAACCAAGAACACGCTCGGCATTTCTCAAGCTGAAAGAACTGAAGAAAAATTGAAGCCTCGAGTTGCAATATTGAAGGATTTTCTGGGCAATAAATTGAGCGATGCAGGAAGCATCAAAAGAAAATAGAAAGAATACGCAGAGTCACTGTACCAAAAAGAATTGGTCAGCATTCAATCATTTCAGGAGGTAGCATATATCAAGAATTAATGGTACTGAAGGAAGAATTCCAAGCTGTACTGAAGGCATTGGTGAAAAACAAGGCTTCAAGAACTGGTGGAATACCAACTGAGTGAGATGTTTTAACAAACAGATGCAATGCTGGAAGCGCTCATTTGTCTATGCAAAGAAATTTGGAAGACAGCTACCTGGCCAACCTACTGGAAGAGATCTATATACGTGCCTATTCCAAAGAAAAGTGATTCAATGGAATCTGGAAAATATCAAACAATATCATTAATATCATGTACAAATAAATTATGCTGAAGATAATTCAAAAGCGCAATACATCGACAGGGAACTGCCAAAAATTCAAGAAGAGGACATGGAACGAGGGATATCATTACTGATGTCAGATGGATCTTGGCTAAAAGCAGAGAATACCAGAAAGATGTTTACCTGTATTTCATAGAAAATCATTCAACCATGTGGATCATAGCGAATTATGGATAACATTGCGAAGAATAGGAATCCCAGAACACTTAATGTGCTCATGTAGAACCTGTGCATAGACCAAGAGGCAGTCATTCAAACAGAAGAAGGGGATACTTCGTAGTCTAAAATCAGGAAAGGTATGCATCGGGGTTGTATCCACTCACCATACTTATTCAGTCTGAATGCTGAACAAATTATCTGAGAAGCTGGACTATATGAATGAGGCATCAGAACTAGAGGAAGACTCATTAACAACCTGTGATATGCAGATGGTACAACCTTGCTTGCTGAAAGTGAAAAGGACTTGAATGGTGAAAGACTGATGAAGATGAAAGACTACAGCTGTCGGTAGGGATTACACCTTAACATAAAGAAACCAAAAATCCCCACACCTGGACCGATAAGCATCATGATAAATGGAGAAGAGATTGAAATTGTCAAGGATTTCATTTTACTTGAATGCACAATCAACACCCACGGAGGCAGCAGTCAGGAAATCAAACGACCTATCGCATTGGTCAAATCTGCTGCAAAAGACCTCTTGAAAATGTTAAAAAGCAAAGATGTCACTTGAAGGACTAACGTGCACCTAACCCAAGCCATGGTATTTTCAGTAGCCTGATAATGCGTGTGAAAGCTGGACACTGAATAAGGAAGACCGAATAAGAATTGATGCCTTTGAATTATGGTGTTGGTGAAGAATATTCA